TTTCACCATTTTAAGGGCACCCTGGAGGCCCTGCATAATTTAAGGGCACATAGTAGTGCATTGCATCATATGTTCACTACTGGATGGGCCCCTTAGAGAACACAGCATTATATTTTCTCCACTGGAAGGGCACCTTAGAGGACACTGCATTGCGTTTTCTCCATTTTAAGAGCACTGGTTAGTGCACTGCATCTTTTTGTCCCCACTGGAAGAGCACCTTATAGGGTACTGTATCATGTTTCCTTCCATAGGTGCATCCAAGACGGCACCTTTGCTGTGTTTTTCTTTCTAATATTGTGGCACCAAGTCTCTAATAAAAGCTCTAAGCACAAGTACATTTCAAGTACATCAGAGGGTATGCTGCTCTGCACGCACACAAAGAGTTGAGTAGTTTACCAGCCAAAAACCTTTAATCCTGACCCTATGAGAATTTGCTCAGGCCACAGTTTGGCTGTTTGAGCCTTAAAGTGAAAATCCACCCCAAAATAGAATTAACGCATGTTATCTCCTAATAATGTGCAGTTCAGTTTTTTTTTGTTTTCGTGAGCAGCAGACAGTGTGTGGTGATGATGTAATCCTCAGACAGATCCTGGAGCAGCTTGGCAGACAGCAGATAAAAGAAATCCTCATGTGACTCATGTGACTGTAGCAGGTCGATGAACACAGTGTGATTCACAGCTGGAATCTCATCAACCAAATAACAGACATCTTTAATCTCTGCATGATTGTCTTCATTCATTATAATAGACTAGAGTTAAATAACATAGCAGATGAGTTGGGTGAGGACACAAGTGTCTTTGTTTGCAACGTAATCTTATATCTAAGCAGTTTCTTTTTTAACAAATGTTCATCGCAGTAACGTTATTTTTGGATGTCTTTGGATGGAGTCCATTTTACATGGTGGGCATCATGGCACAAATAAACAACAAACAACTTTCCAAAGTCATTTAGAAGGAACAATATTGGTTACACTGATTTTGGTTTTGGGTGGACTTTCTCTTTAATCTAACTATTGCTTGAGTTAATCCCTCAATTGTTCCTGATCTTAGAATGACCCAATTAAAGCGCTGATGTTAAAAATGGGGAGCTGAAGTTACAATGGCATTAATTTATAAAATAAAAGATATGAAAGTAAGAATCCAGGCTTTTTGTGTACAACATGGTGTAATAGCAATGGTTGGAATTAAGTATATTTACTCAAAAACTGTGTTTAATTAAAATCATATAATCATGTAACCAGTAGGAAACTGCTTTATTTCCAGTACATTTTGCTCATAAAACATTTGTACTTTTACATAAGTGACATCTTAAAGGTGGGGCTTTTTTTAAGGATATTTTATAGGCTATAAATACATCTGTGGGTCCAGCGTTAGCTTGGATATAATGTATGATTCAAAGCAAAATTATGTGTAGAGTATAATATCAACTAAAATATATATGGTATATAGCAGAGATCCCCAACCTGGGGGTCAGGACCTCTGCACGTTTTTTAAAAAAACTTTAAAAATATACACAATAGTCCTACAGATTAACATTACGTGAATTTCTTGTGAAAAAAAATTAGATGAAATTGTAAATTTAGATTATAATTTAAGATCTAAACTCTACTAATCAGCTTCATCCTCATTATCATTAGAAAAGTATGCAGCTAATAGAACATTAGGGAGAGCAAAACACTGCAAATTTTGTCAAAAAATAAGGTTATTAAGAATGTATGACTGTTATATATACAGACAGATAATTGTATAAAAAGTTCCTAAAAATATAAAAACCTGCTCATCTCTTGCAATATTCACAGGAAATAATCTGCTCAAAATTAATCAAAATTGCTTGTTTTACACAAACTTCCTGCAATTGTTGGGTTCATTGTACAGTTTATCAGTTGTTCTGCATTAAAAATAATATGAAATATCCATAAAAGACAGTTTATGCATAGACAAGGGCTCCCTTAAGGTTGGTAACCACTGGTATATGGTGTCAAAATAGAATAATGCTCACCATATTGTATTTTTATGCTTATTACCAAACAAATGTGCAGTTAATTGAATTATAACAAAGTAGTAATTGCTGCACAGGTCCTCAGGGGACTGTTGGGCCCTTGAGTGTGCGGGACCTCTGTGCATTTGCCTGCTTTTGGTAACAGAGCCAGCAATGTTAGATGCAGGTCCAAAGGGAATCCTAATCCCTTAATAAGTAGACTCAGACCTGAGAGGTGTCCTGTTAGTGTTTGACCGTAGGGGGGCGCTTCATCCGCACAGCAGAGTCTTTTGTGCAACACCGAAAGTCTTCCCCTGGTGGCTTAGGAAGCAGCAGAGAGGCGGCTGGTGGCTGGTGTTCATAATGTCGGGCAGAAAGCCCCGGTCTGTGGCAAACCCCCTGGAGTCTGCTATCACCACACCGAGTGAGAGGATACTGAAAGAATGCCACAGTTTGTATGTCGACAGCGAAAACGGTAAATAATCAATAACCGCGGATCCATATGAGTCAACAGTTAGGACCGTAGAGCAGAAACGAGCACGCATAGTTGTGCTATTGTGTAACTTAGTGGTGTAGTAGGACTGAGTGTGAAGTTTGCAGGGAGCGTAAAACGGAGCAGTTTAATGTGTAAAGGAGGTGGTGGTCTGCAGCAGCTGTCTGTCAGTGTCAAACTGATGACATTGAACACTGGTGCCTCTGCAGCCCTGCAGGGCAGCGCCCATATCTGACAAGTTACACTCCTGCAGAGTGCTGCAGAAGAAACCAGTTCAGCACAGAGGGGGCTGCTTTAAAGTAATGAGACTGAACACTGTAAATAAGTGTCTTCTTGGTTTTAACAGTCCTGTGCAGGTCACTTGATCACTGTGTGTGCAGACTTTGCAGCCTTAATATAGTCCTGTACTATCTATGTACTATAGTCCTGTACTATATACTGTGTGTACTATAGTCCTGTACTATGTATGTTATTACAGTATAATAGTTAACTCTGGTATAACTGAAGAGCTGCTTCATTTCAGTTACAATAAATGAATTGAGATATTAAAAATATTAAAAATCTGAATTTCCTGACAATTTCCTGTAAGGAACCGAGTAATTTTGATTCCAGTTAAAGGGTAAATATAATATTTAATTAAATATTAAATCATTAATATTTAGTTTGGGACTGCAACTATTTAATTATTGATTAATCTCCAGAATCCAAGGTGACATCTTCGAATGTCTTGTTTTGTCCAAAACCCAATATATTCAGTTTACAATAATGTGACAAAGAAAAGCAGCACATTAACTCTTCTAAGAGGCCGAAACCAGATATTTTTTTGCCATTTAAAAAATTTTTTAGTTTAAAGGATAATTGAAATGATTAATCCATCATCAAAATGGTTCACAATTATTTTGCAGTCAACTGACGAATCGATAAGAAGTTAGTTTTGAAAGAAAACCCCATCCAGATACACATTTATGCTTCTTTGTATTATTAGAAACTTTATTCCTCATATGTATTTAACTTTATGCTTATCTTTTAGCTCATTTTTGCATTTTCAGCTAACCTGCTCTTTATTGACCACAAGACTCTCAAGGTTACCCGAGCAATTAATTGGAATAATTAATCTGAAATGTACCAAGGTAACACAGTCTCCATTTTATTTCCAATAACATCATTCTTTTAAGGAAATGTCCTTGGAAATGATTTGAAATTTGCTTGTAAAATTAAGAGTTACCATTTTTTTATTTGTGTTCTCCCATGGTAGATTTTTTTTTAACCTTTATTTTATTAAAAGAGGTTATATTGCTGAGAGCAACGACCCTCTCACACATGTACACACAAACACAGTCTTATCTGTTTACCACTGAGCAGGTTTACTGGACCAGTTTAGGGGTTACATGCTTTGCTCAAAGTACACACATTCTTTACTCAAGTAGAAGTGCAGATACTGGACTCTGAAATGTACGTAAAAAGTACTAACTTGGTGTCTCTTAAGGACATTTCTACCAGCTGTTTTTGTCATGTTATGTCTGTCATTCGTGATATGTAACAGTCTCGATGTTAGGAAGGTGTGCAATAATATAATATATATAAAATAATAACAATCCTCAGACGCATTAAAACTAAAGTAACGAGCCTGTCCTGAAAATGTAAGGATTAGAAAGATATACAGATATTTGTTTCAAAATATGGGGGGTGAAAGTAAAAAGTGGTCAGAAAAATACATAATCAAGGAAAGTTCAGATACCTGAAATAACTACTTAAGTACAATAAAGTATTTGTACTTTGTTACTTCACAACTATGAACAGTGGTTCCCTGCCCAGATTGGATTTTAGAAATGAGGCTAAAAATGTGTTTAATGCAAAACCAGTTATTAGTATTTTTCAGACTAAACTTTACTGTAACAAATAGATTTTCACATTACTGGTTGATATCTGTTAGCTATGCACGATAGGCCTACTTTTTAGTGGTTTTTACTCAAATTTTACGATGCAAGTATTTTTATTTCACGGCTGATTTTAAGCATGACATTGTGATGATGGTACTTTAATTGCTACCTGCTTACTGTGTGTGTGTGTGT